AATATTTGATGGCGGTTTATTTTTTTATTTTTAAGCAAACAATGTTGTATGTCTGTTGTTAAAGTTAAAGGCCACAAAGAAATGTTCAAATTTTACAAAACAAAAGCATGTTAACGGTAGTAGGTACATATTCTATATTTTGAATTTCTTCTTAATCATTTACATTTTGGTTTTTCTCCAAAATATCTGGCATCCCTTCTAAATTTTTGTTACTTCAGTTTCGGTGTAATTGCTTTTTGTCACTTCCGAGTGTACTTCCTGGTTTTCAGAATATTCACCAACTTATTTTTCTATAATATTTGCTTCAAACTCAACCTCCGGCATCAATATTGTCCGTTTTTGTATTAACACCATACTCAAGCAAAGCTGTTTTCTCCGTTTCTTCCTGCATTTCGTTCTTACGCTTTCTTTCATCGGCACCGGAAGCGTGATAATAATCCATTTTATATAAAACATTCATACAATTTATTATATAAAAAGCCTCTGATCTGTTCGTCAATGGCTAGGCATTTAATAATTATTAAAAATCTACTTCAACACATCAACTAACTAATCACTTCCAGAAATTTAATACTTAGAGCCTAAAAATCGTTTCTCAACTCTTACTATGTTTAAGGGGTGTTGGAATCCCAAAATCTTCAAAAAATTGTGATTTAGGATTTTTGCACTTTCAAATTCTCTACACTTTCATCTTTCTAAAAATACCATTCTTTAATCTCTATAAAAATTAGAACTGTAAAAAAATCTAGTTTTAATTTGTCATCTACCGCTTTGATCAATGATGATTTTTACATAAAAACGCGTTTTTCTAGAGGTGATTTTTTTATGCTTGATAGTACCTTTTCTCAAGAACTACTGCTCACAGGTATCCTGAAACTTTTTATACCTTATTTATTAGGTTCTCCAATATTTACTGAAATGAGCTTTTTGTAATAAACTTTTGTAAAAACTGTGTGAGAAGTGGTAATTTTTACTATGCGTAACAAAATATTCTGTAATTTACTGTAAAATTCATAATGCTTCAAAAGCTGATTTCAGCATGATTAGATAGGTATACTTTAATTAGAGAAAAAATTCAAGCTTATATCTACAACAGATTTTGAGAAAAGGTACATCGAAAATGGTCAATTTGACATTGTCGGTATAGGGGTTTCTGATACCCCTTAATGTTTTTACTAGACTTCTGCACAGCATGCAATACGTACACAATATCATCTGTCACGCCCCACCTACAGATCAGCTAGTCAGCAAAATGCTGTTCTTGTACAATGGACCATTTATATCAGTACATTACTTTTATTTCATAAAATAAAGTTGTTAACTTTCATTTTAACATTTTGTTTTTCAAAGTGGACGCTTTGACGGTGCCTTCCAAAAAGTCGGGTCGTAGACATTCGTCTTATTTGTCTATGCTATGGTCATCTGGTGGAGAAAGTTGGTCAGTACTCAATCAAGACTACAACTAGATTAAAAAACAAACGTTTTAAAAAATCTGAAAGATTAGATTTTGAAATAAACAAAGGGACGTTTCTTTAACGTTTTGCGAGTTACCTTTTATTGAATATGTTCTTTGCACTTAAACCATAAAATTTAGTTCAATAGCAATGCCGCAAAATAATTTTTAAAATGAGCCTATCTTTAAAATTTCGGATACACAGTTCCGCGCGCTGAAGATAAAAAGTGTTTTTTCCCCCCTCCGTACAGTGTTGTCATTGCTCGTTTTTAAATTGTTGAGTTTGTTACTCGAAAATTCGTTCAAGTTTCACAAAATATGAAATTGACAGCAAAACAAATTTCAAATTTGGTCTTCTACATGCCCATATTCGTAGGAGGATGAAGTCATTCAAAAATTGATGGCTCTATGTACCGTTGTTTTATCACAGTGCGAGAAATATATATACATTTATGCAGATTTTCCACCATTTTCTTCAAATATAATGCAGGACTAACATTTGGTGGCACCAGTGTGAAAAGTGAAACGGATGTTTATAGTGATTCAACGCAAAATCGCAAAACGAAAACAACAGTCCTTCAGGTGCAAAGCCCCTCAGGACTAATAAAGAAAATCTGAAAGCTTTCAGATTTTATATTACACCCAAACGGACTTTTTTTCATTTACAGACACATACAAGTTTTGAGGGCCATTGGGCTAAAAATATTAAAAAACAGCACATCTTTAGAACTTTCGCGAGACTGTCTATTGCCTACAGTACTGCCACTGTTCGCTTTAAAATTGTTGAGCCTTTTTTAATCAACAATTCTCTAAAATTTTACAAGATATGAAATGGTCAATAAAAGAAAGTTTAAATTTCAAATTTGGGTTTCCAAGTGCCCATGTTCGGGTGGAGGACTATTCAAAATTTCATGACTAGGTACCGTTGTTTATTCACAATGCGAGAAACGTACATTAATGTAGATTCTTCATTAGTTTCTTTACATATAATACAGTTGATAATATTTGCAGCTACAATCTGAAAAGTCATACAGCCATTTATAGAGATTCGATGCGAAATGTTTTGAGACTAATAGCCCTTCTGGACTAACGCCCATTTAAGCTAAAAATAGCAAACAATTTTATCTAACTGCAGAAAATTCTGTTTAAACAAATCCTCGTTACTACGCATTGTTACTATTAATTTAGTCACTTCCCTTTTATTATTTCATTCGATGCCGATGGTATAGTTTTAAATTTGTTATCAATTCTCTCACTTTTCATTTGTTTTGCGATTTTACCGCATTTCCTTGCGCTTTAGCGCTACCTTCTGAAAATTAAAAATGTAGTTCTTCAGTGCGTTCCCCACGTGCTCCCCTAAATTTTAAAACGGATTCGTCAGCGTAGCGATTGTTTTCGCCTTAGTAAGAAAGACTAACCCTCGCAAACAAACTCCGACGGTCACGCGGAACCTTTCCCTTCTTACTGTTGAACTTTTTATGCCAGCCTAATAAGAGAACAGACCAGTCACAGCGAAGAAAACACAAACTGACATTCAATCTACAATTTCACCGAGTTAGCTTCACATTCACCCTCTCCAATTCTTTATAAATGACTTGAAGCCAAAAAGTAGCTGAAATAGCATTAAGAAAGTCCGAGATTCAAGCTATAGGAAAGCAGAAATGAAAATCTTATTAAAAGTTATAGCGTTAATATTAACAACATGTCTTCTTATAGAAATATATAGGTTTCTTTTAAAGGCATAATGTGATAGTTACTTGTAGTTTTATCCATGACTACTTGCGATTTTTTATTGGAGCACAATTATGCAAGATAGGGTTCCTCCGTATATTGCACGGTGTGTTACGGAACGTCATTTTAGAGAAGAACGTGTCATCAGCTGGCATTTTCGTAATGTGTACTCCCCCCCATCCCTAAACAAATCAATACGGTTTTAAACTTGTGACATTTGAAACATCTGGCAATTCATTTTGTGCAGGTCATTATACAACTTACTATAAAGAAAAGGACTCAATTGGCTCTCTAAAGTAGAGAAATCTTATTCTCAAATAAACAGACGCTCTTAGTTTATTTTGCAGAGTGCGAACTCTTATACCAATTCGTTTCTTAAACAGAAATGCATCCTTCTCCCCTCAAAGGAGAGAAACTCCAAAAGGCAAAAAGCGGATTACCTTTAAATGTGGTGGTTAACAAATTTTATTCAGCTTGTAAATCAATCTTGCTATGCAATTAAGTCTTCGTATCATTTATTTTTAAATATGTTTCGATATCTTTTAGAAGTTAATACCGTAAAGCCGAAATGAAATGAGAATTTATTTCCATAAGCACAGCTATAGCGATTGTATTCTCTAGCGGTTGTATTCTATAACTAATTCATAGATTCGGCTATGTGCTAGTTGAGCACTTTGGATAATTTACAATCGCATGAAACAGTAATTCGCATAAAGAAATACCTTCCTCAGTACTGCGAGTAAAGCTGTTTTGAGAAAAATCAAGAAAATGTTCTTGCATATTTTATTTGAAAGCAATGTAGGCAAAATGATGAAAATATATGCAACTGGAAGAAAAACACGCCATTATAAAACTTATTAGTGAAAAACCAGTGAGGAGTAATAAGCAGAAATTTTGAATAAAGCTGTCGCTTAGAAGGGCAGTCAAACCCCAAGTTCTTTAGAAGCAATAAAACCGCCATACACGTTCAAAGTTACGGCAATCTATAGTTAATTTTTGCTAAACTTTAGAAAGCTGTTGTAATAGTTATCTTAGAAACGGTAAAATTTTCCTAGTGTGTATGCCGATGAAAAACTTAAGTACGCAAGGAAAACTGAAATTCATCTTGGAATAGGTCACTTATCTATTTAAATTAACGAATGAATATTAACTTAAGAATTTAACGTAAAGTGTACACAGCAGTAACGTTGTCTCTTACAGATCATAACTATTTTTAACACACAGCTCATTTTAATGCTGGTTCTTCAAATTAAAAATCTAATTTCAATGCTATGAACTGCATCTTCGCAGTCTACCCAAAGCTTATACGAGTCTGATAGTTCAGACTTCGGGGAATCATTTCTCACCTGCCGGAAGCGGGTTAAGAAATTTAGCTGAACTGGGATATAAAGTTTACTGCAAGTGATTTTGGCAATTGACCATTTTTCGTGAGCTAAAGAGAAATTGCTTAATACCCGCCTTTTCCCCCCGAGCTATTTCAAATTTTATTGTGCTGCGTGTGTCCGAATTTATAAATTAGGACAGTTTCTTCCTGCTTATATGGTGCGATTATTAAAAGAAATTAGCCATAACTCGCAGCAGTACTAACACTTAATTGAAAATGAACATTGCAGCGACATAACATCACAAGAGTTAAGGTCGACTAGAAAAGGGTAATAGCTCCAACAATTAATAACATTCACTCTCAGCAAAAGTTAAGAGATACTTAGGTTAAAACTGCTATTCTGAATAACAAAATTTTCCAGTATTTAAATCTTAAAATTAAGAAACAAGAACATTACAAATCCCTTATCTTTGGATAATAATTGAAGAAAAATTCACGAAGCGTAAATGATTTTATTTTAAAATACCAGATTTAAAATTACCGTGTATAGTAGTATAACAGATATGTAACAAAATAAACGATAAATAACGAAATTGATATGGTCAAATATGATGATTAAAGTTCTCAGTAAATGTTAAAACTACAAATATGAATTGGGTTCGATAAAATATCATCCAGCATCGAAATGCTTGAAATTTGTCAAGTTCATAAACTTATCGATTCTTTCGAAATATTAATTTCTCAGAATAGACCTATATTTTCTAATGAATCATCCTTGTATTTGTCCTTTCGTAATTAACGCTTCAACAAATTTCTACTTTAAGTATTCTGACGAGTTCTTTCGTCACTAACTGCGCTTTTCGAATTTTGTAGACTCGGATGAAGTTTTGTCAGAATGTAAATCCGACGGTAATGGTACCGAATCTCTTGCATCGCTTGAATCCTTTTCTGACGCCGACTGCCCGGAATCTTTTGTTTCAGCTGGATGATTTTCTGACGCCGACTGCCCGGAATCTTTTGCTTCAGCTGTCATAGAAGTTTGTTGGAAATTGCCAACATCTCGTGATAAAGAGCTTTCCGATTTTTGGCTTGGCTCTTCGTCGCTATCAGAAACTTCAAAAGAATCACTCGAGGACACATGGTATGTATTATAAATATTAAATCTGCGTTCCGTAAACTCAGGACTTTCGGAACTCGGACTCAACTGAGTCTCTGGTTTACCTCGTGGTAAAGAGCTTTCCGTTTTTTGGCTTGGCTCTCCGTCGCCATTATAAACTTCAAAAGAACCACTAGGGAACTCGTAACTTTCTACAGCACTTAATTTGCGTTCTGTAAACTCAGGACTTTCGGAACTCGACTGCGTCTCTGGTTTACTCAACATATCCTCCTCTAAATTTTGTTGAGTAGTAGCTTTTTGAAATTTTGTCATTAAAGTTTGTTGGAAATTGCCAACACCTAGTGGTAAAGAGCTTTCCGTTTTTTGGCTTGGCTCTCCGTGAGTATTAGAAACTTCAAAAGAATCATTTTCCTTCATTTCCACATCTACTCTTAAATCACTTAATTTGCGTTCTGTAGACTCAAGACTTTCGGAACTGGCTATAACTAAGGGAGGCCATCCACTTACTTTTATAGGATCCTGTGCATCCTGCTGATCCTGTGAATCCTGTTGAGGATTAGCTGCAGATTGGTCGGGCAAAACATCGGATTCTCCAATGAAGCAGCAGCAATATTCTTTGAAGTAAGCGGACGATAAGAAGCGGCCTTCCAGGAAAGCTGGGCGTTGGCAGATGCTGCAAGAGTGCAACCTAATTTCAGTACAAAGCTCACATTCACACGGTCCATCACGGCATCTGCAGACATTAAAGCAGAAGCAGCTGTGTTCTAGAATCGGAAGAAATATATAAATAATGAGATTTAAAGAGCAGTTTCAATTACAACAATTGAATACTAAAAACACTAGTTCATTTGAAATACAGCAACTTTCAGTATCTAAAATTGAAATATTCTGGTTGATTTTTATCCTTGAATAAAAAACCACTTTGTTTACAAACTTTATTTTCAAATTAAGTAGGTTTAAAACATTAAAAGGTTTGGTTCCTTATTTTCTAATAAGGTACTTAATGAGGATGAGCATATGACCACTTACTGGCACAGCCAATTTGCATTTAAGTTGCCAGCACCATTTTACAAATCGGCTATTTTTCCATCAAGACGCGTGCTCTCCACCATAGAGATAGATGCATCCGGCATCCTTATGAAGTTGCTTAAATCATGAAATTGAATAAAAGTGGTATCTTTATAACAGCCTCGCTATGAAATCATTGATGTGCCGAGCAGAGAGAAGATTGTTAGCTTTTATGCCACGGATAATCACAGCAAGTATTTATGAATTTCTGATGAAGAGGGTGTGCGACGACGAATTTATCTCCCTTTCTTCCCGAGTCTTTAAATCTTTCAATCTATTTTATGCTGCATGAATCCTGCTATTGCGATTCCTGTTTGATACCTTTAAACGATGGATACCAGGCGATGAGACTCCGCGATGGCTACCGATGCCTCGGGAAATTTCGAATTTCCGATAGCTCTATCCTCCAGTCTTTGACCACGAACTTGAGATTGAGACAAAAACAAATTCTTTAAGTTACTTCGAAAAGTGTTAGGCTATATGATTATGGTAAAGCACACGAAGGTGTGTGTGTGTATGATTATGGCAAATCCTCGAGGGCTATCTGCCTAAGGGGAGGGATGCCTTCGTGGAGGACTTTCTAAGGGAAACTGGCTCGTATATACCTTACACATGGGGAAAACCACGAAAACGCCCATGCAGCCAGCCCGTTCGCGGGATTCGAACCTCGGACCGAACTACCAGTGTTCAGCGACTTTACCGCTCAGCCGCTGGTGGGCAAAACACATGAAGGCTATCTGCCTAAAGTTAGATGCATTCGAGAAGGAAGATCTGAGGGAAACTGCCTCGTATTTATGTTGCACACCCTTCAATCTCGAATCTGAACATAGAGGATTTCGATTCAGGCAATTCAAGAATACCATATTAGTAAAATTGGAGTTAAGTTTAAGATTAAATTTTGCCTGCCGATTAAAAGAAATTTTGGACTAGTGCGTTATAGGACACTACGCGCCAAACAATTTTTTCTAGAAAGAATGTGCATAAACTTGGTACTTCAAAGAAGAAAATATGCTTTCAGTCAGTTCATTTCGAATGGCGTATAATATGGGCATTTCTGAATATCGCTAATAGTTGCCAGGTTAGTTATTTGAATAAACAAGGAACTAAATAGAACTAAATAATACATTTTAAACCTTTTGACACTTAGTTGTAAAATACTGTTAAGGGATCAAAGCAAGACATTGAATTTCACGACGGCCAACAGGAAGTTAACCTTTCTGTAAAAAAATGCTTGGGGCATGTTATTAGTATTGAGAATATCGAAATTCCGTGTTTAATAACGGACATTTATAGGGTTTCATTTTACGCTTAAACAAGAAAAATATTTATCTCCATCCCTTTTCGGTTACTTCATTTCAGTCTACAAGCGAGTTTTTGGTAACACTTCATGTATCAGAAGATACAAATCTCTGCCGAAACCTCTGAAGTACTTCTCAGGTAGAAACAGACCACACTTAACTCTTACAACATAATCTAATCAGAAAGAAAGTCAGTTTCAAAGGAAACCTACATCATTGACACGAGCTTTAATTTGCGCGGTAACAAGGAATTCAGTACTTTGATTATTCGGACATCCGATTTCAATAGTATTGCATTATTTTTGGTATATTTTTTAGTGTGCACGTGATGACAGACACCCCATGCACGCTCTTACAATACAAATGGAATTTGCATTCATTATATTTAACTGTCGTCAAGCTGAACAGTGTCCATTAGCTATAAGAACGTAAATATCGGGACTTACAAGATTTGTTTTCTAATATTTAAAACAGACCTTTTATTAATATTTTATGAATGCCCCTAAAATGTACCCATGAGCCCTAAAAATAAACTAAGAGTTTTTAGTCAAAATCGCCAAATGAACTGAACGTTCAGCAAGTGCGCGAATTATCAAAGTACCGGAAATTCTGAATGCCCTTTAATATTCTCAGTCAAGTAACCTTCGAAATAAATACAAGATTAAAGTATGCCCGAAGTAATTTATTCTCCTTCCATAACATAATGAACGTAGTAATATAAGTAACAAGAGTTTAAACATTGACATCAATGAAACTGCGTAGGTATTTGGTATTCCAAAATGGACGCGTTTACTTATAATGATGTCAGTCTTTTGAGACATTTTGCATTTCACATTACCAGATTTGCTTTTCTTTCTTATAATGAAAGACCACAATAATTGCGAGAACTTTATACTTTGGATTAAGTCATGATGGCAAATAAGAACTAATGAATTTCAAAGGAAAATCGACCTGAAATTGCCATTTTCCAAAGTCGGGAAACACGAAACCCGAATGCAGTAGCCCTTTCTAACGTCCTGAATGAAATTATCGACGAGCTACCGTTGCTTTCGAAGTTTTACTTAATTACTGATGAAAGTGATAGCATTTTCTTCCGACAGCAATTGCTATTATTTTAGCCTTCGATGCGGCTGATGTTTGAAAAACCTATCCACATTAAACATTTACATTAAGTATTTTACAAAAGTACATTAAGTACTATTCATACCTCAGTTTATTTAAAAAGTTTAATAATGTAGAGTATCTGAACACGTTAAGAGAAATTTTTAAGATTAAAATTTTATTTACAGCTCTATTAGTCATGAACACTGAAGACGGACAATCAATACGTGAAATAAATCATTGCTTTGCAGAAATATTAAGTATAGAGAACAGATTTCTCAAACTCAAAACACAGAAATATAGGAATAAAATTTTAACTAATCCGAGAATCGATAGCTTTGAAGCAAACTACATGCTTCCTTCTAGTGCTTGTACCATTATTTAAAAGATATCGTGTCTTAAAAGTTTCAGAAATAGCTGAGGAATAAACACAAGACTTTCGGGTATATTTACCATGTTTTAACTCAAGAGGCCATATAGTGTAATAACGCAAGAAACGAGAAAGTAAGCACACAATGTAATTTTTTTTAGCACATCGAAGGCAAGGCATGCAGTTTTATGTAATAATGGATAATATTTCCAGATATTTTTAAGTGAGGAAATAATGTATAAAAATTTAGTTTAGAGAACTTTAAAATTTTGCATTCATTCCAAGAAAAATTGACAAACTTATCTAAAACTTGCCATGTTTGAATGTTATACAGTGCTCATAACCGCATTTAACGATTTTTCTTTTAGCCATCTTTTTCCCGTTTTAAACTGCAGTATATTCATATTCGATTCCAACCATTTTCTAAATTATCTTGAAGTCTTTTTCTGCAATTACTTAAATGGAAAGCTCCCACGAAATCTCCGGTGAAGTATACGCACACTAATTTACACAAGAAGCGGCTCAAAATATCAGTGTCACGACCCTAGAAAAATTCAATCCGGCCAAGATCGTACCTTGCCAAGAATATTAATGAAATCGAATGCTGCAGAGTATTTTACTCTTCAGTATACCTTTCAAAGAGCTGGTGGCTTCGACAACATCTACCTGGCGTAAAAATTTTGAAAACTCATTTGATTTGAAACACTTGCATTCTGAAGTTTTAAATTAATGTTGGGTATGAATTCAGAGACCGTTAAAAACATAACTTTTTTTTTATCCTACAGGAGCTTGTACCAGTAAACCTTGGTGAAAACATTTGAGCTCATTTTTTAAATTGTGAGGATTCACCCAAGAATTCCCTATCTAATGTAAGGATGCCTTCTCAAAGGAGTTAAAGAAATAGGCTCGTATGCCCGTTGCACACGAGAAAAGCAATGTAAAACCAAAGCAGCCAGACGATTAGCATTCTTGTCGCTTGTTCGTTAAAGGACAGAAGCCGTAGGAAGATACTAGAGTGTGATGAATACGAAGAACTTAATTCTTCAACTAGAAACATCAAAGGACTAATTAAAGCTAGTTATTCAATCTTCATTTTTATAGGATGAGATTCCAAATTTTGCACAAAAACGAAAACGCTTACCGTGTGTTACCTATTATGAATCGCTTATTTGAGAGATTTTCTTTTCCGCCGATAATGGGGCAGCCATCTGTTGGGTTTAGTCAGGTTTCGGCGGCCAGTTAATGGGCAAGATGTCTTATTAAAATGAAAATTAAAGAAGCAGGGAAGGAGAACGTGCAATATGTTCAGACAACTCAATTCTATTTATTACATTAATTTAATGCACGGAAAGAGAAAAAGAGTTCAGAATAATGCATCTTAGTATATGTATTATGATATACAAACTATTATGACAAAATGTAGCAGGATCCACAGTGATAAAATATGGACATAATATTTACATATAAATACATTTAAAAACAACGCATAAAATAACCTATGTATTAGTGCGACAAAAATTAACATGTGAAGTAACCTTAGGGAGGCAAACCATAGAGTAAAGTTACTCATTATTTTCAAACAGCAGTCTTAAAATTACTTACACCAAGGTGGTTTAAGTTCATTTGATTATGACCATGCACTCCAGAGCTATCTCGCCTAAAGGGGAAGGATGTTTTCGTGGAACCTACTTAACTACTGTTGAAACTAATCAATGCGTACTACTGGTTTTTGAAAACAACTTTCTAGGAAGAATTCTGCATCATTCCCTCGGTCTCCCTTCTTGCCTTTTTAAATAAGGTTCGGAAGAACCCGAAATTTTATCAAACAGAAAATTTTGTTACTAATTCAAAGTCTGAAAAAGGAGCAAAAAGCTTTGAAATATCGTTCTTTTACTCCTCGAATCAATCATTCTAGAATTCCAGCTGACAATTGCTACTTTTTATTTTACTTCTCTAGATGGGTGATTCTATACATTTTAATATGAAAATTTTCATCTCTTCACATTACGCTTCGTAATAAAATACTTCAATGAAAAATACATCAACATTTCACTAAATGCGTCAATTATGCACCAACCTTACACGTTAACGGAAAATTCCAATCGGATTTCATGAAAGTTATTTAAATACGTTAGTTTGTTTCCGATATAAATTTACAAAGTCTTCGGAAGAAACTATTCTAATTCTGCATGGAAGTAACCAAATCGTAATATGAATTTTCATATTTCAATAAAAAATTTAGAAATTTTAAATACCAAAAATTCAATACAACAGCTTCTTTCTACTTTTACCACTTAACATTACAGTAAAAAATTTCATATTTTGAAATATTAGGATATGCGATAAAAATATTGCTAAATGCTAGAAACGAAAAATTACATTTAATTTATAATACTAAATTTACAAGGACTCCGCAAAATGTTTCTTTTATTGCCTTTCAAGTATTATTGCAGTATTTAAAATTTCTTTCCAGTATAATACGATTACTTTAAAATGAATGCGTTTAAAATAACAAACTACAAAAAATTTCTGAACAGTTAAATGTTATTAAAAGTTCAAAAGGTAAATTTGCTAAATAATAAATTTATATCTTCGTGAATGTTTGGTAATGATTTTAATTTTACTAAGCAATTTAAGTAGCAGGTTCATTTTGCGCTCAAAGTAAACTTATTGAAATGCTGCTCAATAAAATTAACCAAAATTTTCTCATAAGAAAAGGGAAAAAGAATTATTTCTTAATGCTGCTTATTTACTTAACACCGCTTTTTTTCTTTAATAACAGTTAACTTTTCATTTTTCTACTTTCTATATTTCGCTAAATTAATCACAATTATAACGCACTCAGATTGATTCGTCCAAACACATAACACGAAAAACAAAAAAGCGAAAAAATAACGAAACAATAAATGTGTTAACTTACCTCCACACTCACACGGCATAGTTTGCGGTATACCTAATACTTCAAAAGGAAATAACAAAATTCAGATCGTGTATAACGCGGTGAATTAAAGTCAACCAGCTAATGCTACAAGCTTATATAGAACTTTATTCCCTACAAAATGAAGCTCAGACGCCGTATTTGGGACTACTTAGCATTGCGAAAAGTCATTTTCGAAAGTGAAGTATGCAAAATCGCAATTCAAATCATTATTAACACGTGACCATTTGCAAACAACATTAGAAGTAGGAAATACTAATTTGATGAAATATCTCAGAACGAAAAATAATTACATACTTCAAATTAGATACCGAATTTTAACGAAAGTTTCCCGCCCCGCAAATATCGTTTGTGCAAACAGTTAGTTCGCTTTGGCATGTTTAATCACATTTTGTCAAACGATTTTTGGCATTTGAAAAACAAGGACTTGTTTTAGAACACCGTTGTGAAATTTGTAAAAAGATATCGTTATTATTAAGTACAAGGTGTTTGAAATGGAACTATCTCGCTACCAGGTTAGAACCAATACTTCCAGTTCTGTAGCAAAAAGTAAGCTACAGAATCTCACCAAATCATGTATATAACTTTAGATACTAATGTTGTATCATATGACACTGTGAAAAATCGGTACTGAAAGTTCAAAAACAAGGACTATGACATCCAAGAAGCAGAGCGCTCTGGCCGGCATACTGATGTTGATGAGTCCCGCTTGCGAGAATTTGTGGAAGAAGGTCAGTATGCAACCAATGGAGAGCTTGCTAAAGAGTTAGAAGTTAGTGCCATGTTCATTAATCGCATTGTGCATTGCATAAACATGACATACAAGTTCAATCGCTGGGTGCCGCATGAAACTGACTCAAGCAAATAAGGACAGAGCTATTCCGGACTACACTAATCTGCTCTAATACTAACGCAAGAACAAAATTCTGGACTGGATTGTCACCTGTGTTGAAAAGTGGATTTACTTCAACAACGCAAAGGGTTTGCTCTGAGCCCGGTCAGCTCGTCGGCAGAGCCGCAAACCGCAATTTGACTAACAAAAATATCATGCTTTCTATCTGGTGGGATTGCCGTGGTATTACCTATAAAGGGTATCTGAAAAGAAGTAAAACCCTCGACAGTAAGATGTAGAACGAGATGCTAGTTCGTGTTGACGCTGCTTTTAAGGAAAAACGTCGGAATGAGTTCCAGAGCAAAATAATGTTCCATCAAGATAATGCAAGATCACCTGTGTCTTCATTCACCGGCTGGACTTTGTACGGATGCGAATGGGATCTTTTGCCACACCCACTATATAGTCCCAACATCAGTCCTTCGGACTTCGACATTTTTTCACGCCTGCAGCTACATGTTGCTGGTGCTGTCTTCCATTCTCCACAGGACGTCCGAAATGAGGTTGATCTGTCTTTAGACTAGCGGCTACTAAGTTTCTGAGCCGAAGGCTTTGAAAAACTATCAAAACATTGGCAGAAAATCATACATTTGGTTGGTGATTACTACCCACTTTAAAGGTACTACTTTCATGTTTTGTTTTTCTAACTTTATTAAAAACGTTTTTGGCATAAAACTTTCGCACAACTAGATATTTTAATCTATTAATAATGGCGTTTTTTACTATTCAAATCTTTTATTCTTTTCGTTTTGGCGGCGAGGGGGGTAAGTTCTAATAAAATGTGCATAAATAGTATGTAAAAGTATCACTTCATAACAAAAAAAAAAAAAAAATGAAAAAACGCATATGAACGAATATGAAGAGAAAAATTACCCATTCGTATCTTCATGTTTGCTACTTGGTCTGCCGAGCCTAAAACTTTTACAGTCTGGCCCTAGTTTGCCGATCTCTGCTGTAGATGATCGAAAGTCAATCATTTCTCCCTTTATTCTTGAGAGTTCGGAAGATGAGAAAGTTCAGCTATTTGGGACGAGATTGAAAAGTATTAGTTGGTTTGGTTTAATTTATTTGATTACGGCAAAGCCTACCAGGGCTGTGTAAGGGAATGGATGCCTTTGCGGAGAACATTCTATGGGAAATTGCCAGAGGGATGCCTTTGTAGATGACTTACTAATTCAAACTAGCTTTTATTGACGTTACACAGGAAAAAATTCACTAAAACCAACCTTGTAACCAGTCCGTTTTCCTGGGATCGAATTCGGGTCGAACTCCCAGTATTCAGCAATCTTCGCCACTGGTGAGGCTTTTTCTCGTGAGACGAAAAATAGTCTTAATCTTGCTGGAAATATCTTGAATGTGAACTGTATTCTATTTGCTGTAAACATTCTGCTAAACGTTGCGCTTTCTCTAAAGGTTTCAATAGGAGTCTTTCACGTAGAAAATTTAGCAGTTTTTAATATCTTACTAATATTAACCCAATAATGGAGTTTCTGCCAACTTTTCTTTTTCTCTGTATTGAAACTGATGAGTGTAATATCATTTTCCCCAAAAGACTTTTTGTTTTGTTGTATCCAGATATGCCCGGCTCCAGCATCTTCGGCCAACAGGCTATCAGTACAGTTATCAACATGCGTAGGCTAAATAATAAAAAATCATGTTTGATATACATTAACTTGCAAATTAAACTACATTGATTATTATTATTGTTACCTTTGTTGCTTAATTCCACTAAACATACCCTCTACATTAGAAAAGCAGATTTAAAATACTCATGAAACGTTCTTAAATGATTTTCATTTAATTTTTTTTTTTTTTTTTTAATTCTCATGTGAAAAATCTGTAAACTAGCAGATTTCTTGTTTAATGTTATAACATTACTTAACAGAATTCTAATGATTTATTACCGTTTGTCTTGACAACAATCTTTAAACAGTACAACTAAATCAGAGCTTTTATTTCATACTGATTTCCTATTCTACAAACATACCTAGCTTTGAGATTCAAGCTGCCCAGTATTTAAACTCATAACAGAAATTGCTTTCTCATAATAAAATTGAAATTATACATTGTGTCTAACGTGTAATTAGCAGATATTCTACTGATTACTATTATAGTATATAAAGAAAAATTATTCCATGCATAATTCTTCTTTTCATTCACATTCCATGGCACTTATCTTTAAAATTTGGTGACTGTGTAGGAGTGTTTGCCAGGATCTGTAAAGTTTCCCTTGTACACTTTACCCACAAAAAACAAGTTTTACTTTAATTTTTTTCATCACAAGCATCTAAACCATAAAGATTTTTTAAATTTCCATTTATGGTAATTTTTTATTTACAGTATGTTAAAATGTATTGTAGAAACATTAGGAATTTTTGGAGGCAAGAGAGATTGAAAACTGAGCAACGCCTTCGCCTGGAATCGAACCACAGATCTCTGGAATACGCGCCCAGCGTGCAGACCACCACACTACGAAGGCATGCTAGGAATGAGGGAGAAATACCTTATACTACTATGAAGCATGATAAATTATAATATTTGCGTACCTATACAACAAAAAATTTTTTCCAAAGCTATTCAAATTGTTCAATAAATTCAAAAGCAAATTCCATTTTTCTGCAGATTAAACATAGCTCTTGGTAGCATGTTATGTAGAAACATATACATTTTATATAAAATAAGTTAAAGAAAAAACATGAGCTTAAAATTAAGATTGCAAAGCCTTAATGAAGAACATATTTAAATCAACTTAGACAAATTTTGTGCAACTGCTACATAAGAAAATTAATTTCTTAAAAAATATTTTATGCTGAATGTTGCACAGACATACATGTAAGCATACTAAATTACATCACTTATATTCTGTTTGAGAAATTTAATTTAACATGAAACTACTCATATAACCTGTCAAATGATTATTTGTATTTTTTATGCATATTTTAATCATGATTTTTCAGAATTTAATAAAAAATACTTCTGAATAATTAAGATACAATAACACGCCTAACAAGTATTGATTTAGAAGCCAAACAACAGAAATCAGCGTTATATTTTCAAATTTTCACAGGACTAGTTTCGATGGCTTTACCGAACCATCATCCTCAGCTCCAAAAGCGCAATGCAATGCATTTACGCTTTTGCAGCTGAGGATGATGGTTTGGTAAAACAATCGAAACTAGTCCTGTGAAAATTTGAAAATATAACGCCAATTTTTGTTGTTTGATTTCTAAATCAATACTTCTGAATAATTAGCATATATTATTATGCTTATATAGAAACAGGATAAACATCAATAACATTTTTCTAACTTGAAAACTTGAATTGTATGAAATAAATAAGATAAATTTGTTCTTTAGAATGTCATTCAAGATGGCGAAGCCTCTAAGCTTTAAAAGTTTTAAATACTGGCTGAAAAGTTCCAGGAAAAAGGAAAAAGCGGTTAAAAAAGTCGAAATTCTTCACGCAATTGAACTTTAATGCATCTTACAGATATTGAAATTGACTCCTTTTTTTAGTATAACAGGAAAGATAGAATTTTCCAGTAATTCCTTAGAGTACATAATTAATAGTACTTTAAAAAATTCTAGCTAGAAAACCAAGAGACAAGAGAACCATAATTACATATTCACATTAGATTTCTTGCCTTAGTCATCCATAAAATTCTTCTTTTCAGGTTTGGGTGAAATATATCATATCATTGTATACAAGCTACCTAAAAGATAAAGTTAATGCCAACTTTCTTTAAAATATTTGAAATTGTGAGTTTTGGAATTTGATTTTCTAAGAGAATTATTAATAGGTATTTTATTTCTTCTATCAGATAAACTGTATTGTTGAAAACCTTTTTTAATCCTTTGAATTTGGGTGTTAATTTTATTCAAGATGACTTTCTTGGATATGTTGGAATTCCAGTTAAGTTTAATGGTGCGAAAATTGAAATATCTTCTTTTATCGCTTATTTTAATATCTTTATATTCTAAAATTTGAAGATGTGCGTTAATCTTGTTAAGTTTAAGGCTTGCAGGGTAAATATTTGCATCTTCTATTTTGTTAAAGTTATTGATGGCAATAATGTCTTCTACATATCTGAATATGCAGGAGAAATAGTTACTCTGACCATTTGTAAGTGATAATTGACATGTATATTCTAGTGAGCCGAGGACGTGCATGATCTCATTGGC